CAACCGAAAGGATAGAGCTGCCATCAACTGAGATAGAGAAGGTCAAAGATAAAATAGATTCAGGTTGGATGAGGCAGTGGACAGAGTTATCAGAAGATCCATTTTGGACACCATGAATTTGAGAGGTCTACTAATCACTCAAAGCCAAACTCAAGTGAGCAGCCAAATTCCTAGGAAATAGGCCTGAATTAGAAATATGTATTTGGAAGTTGTCAGCATATAAGTCACCCACTAAAGGAGAATAAATTGAGAAGAGTTCCTAGAACTGAGCCCTGGGTTATGCTTATGCTAAGAGGTTGAGGAGAAAAGGGGAGCCTAACACAGCCACCAATGAGATAGGAAGAAAACCAAGAGTATGGTATCTTGGAAGCAAGGTAAAGAAAACTTACCAAAAAAGAAGTGACCAATTGTGTCAAATCCCACTGATAGGTCAAATAAAATGAAGAACAAAAATTGACCAAGGACTTAAGGAAATTACTGTTGAGTCAGACAATTAGAGTAAGACGAGACAAGTTTTTAGTTTTACTGCAAAGGGAAGCTAAAATATGGAACTGAGGTTGGCCAAGAAAAGGGTAGTCAAGAGAAACTACTGCTTTGGTTTTTGGGTGGGAGAAATAATAGCATGTCCATATGCTAGTGAGAATGCTCAAGCAGAAAGAGAAGTAATGATTATAGGAGATGAAGGAAAACTTCTGGAATCATGCCTTGTAGGTTAGGAAAGTGGATCAGGTGCACAAGTGGTCCAACAGGCAGATAATCTAGTTAACAGGGAGAAAGGTGGAGTAAATAAACACAGTTACTAGTAGGTGGGTAGATAATTATAAGTAATTAGGCTACACTGAACCACAACTGGCAAGTCCAGGTATCTATAAGCTTTCCCTCAAAAGCAGACTTCTGGAGAGCAGTGTTTGAATATTCATTATTGTTTCAATTCCACTAGGGGCCAAAAAGCTATTCGAAGTCTTAACAGAGTGGTAGACAGACTTCCTGGGATTACCTTAATTGAGACCAATTGTTTCTAGTGATTACTCATGGCACTAGATATTCTATCCAGGACTCATAAGTGAGGCACTAATTAGCAATTTTAGAATAACTGCATTCCAATTAATCCAAAGTCTTCAAAACTCCTGAGAATTTTTCAAACAATTTCAGAAGTAGAGAAATCTATCATTCTTGGCAACAATACAGTTACTGTTGAATCATTTCAGACACTCTAAATACTACCAAATTCCAAAGAGCAGTCTCAACCTTACTCCTGGAGTTAGTTCATTAGTTTAGGAGGATTTTAAGAACACAGACAGTAACATAATTTTCACGAATGAAGAGGAATAAATATTCCATTCTGAGTTACTGTCCTCATTTAAAAGATTATGTCCTAAGGTACTGACAAACTCACACAGCGGTTAGAAGCATATGAACAGCAAATATTATTTTAAATCCTTAGACCCTACAGAAAATTAATAATAAAGCACATTAATTCTAACATTTATGTAACAGAAGTTTCATTGCACTATTCCATCAGTCAACATTAGCAACAGATGTCTCGAGATTCAGAAAAAACTACTTTGTAAAAGCAACAAATTCTGATACACAATTCTGAAAGCTAAGTAGTAAGCTAAGTAACACTTTTCATCAACTCTGTCATCTTCCATATCTCATTAGAAAAATTAAGTATACATTTTAGTAAAATGAAATTTTTCAACATAATACCCCACAGAACTTCTTTCATAGCAAATGTGTTTGTATCCTAAATGTAACTCAGAAGCTCCATGTTATAATATATTAATACTAAAGGCAAAGAAAAGCAATGAAATAGAAAAAAAATTTTTAAAAGCTAAGAAATAAACTGTATTCATTAAATACAAACAATCTACTGCAAGTCAGTGTTTCCTACCATTAAAGGGATCACATATGCCTTTGCAAATATAATGAAAGCTACGCATATAATTTCAGGGAATTCATGGATGCCTTGAAGCCTATATATAGGTCCTGCAAGTTTAGAGAATCTGTAATTAGTTGGAAAAAATGGGAGTCCAAAATCAATCCATAAACATAGGAAAATTTAATATATGAAAAAAGGAATTGTAATATATGAAAAAATAACCGTAACATACAGTGAGAAATGAATTATTAGTATGTTATTTGCCATAGTTGCTATCCACTGAAAGAAATTACAATAAATCTCTATAATTACATGAATGCTTTAATGAACTAAATGTCAAAAATAAAAATTGTAAGATACTATGGCAAAATATAGAGAATGTATATAATCTTGGTTGGAGACAATCTTCTCAAGTAACAGAAGAAACCTACCTGCCTAAATTGATAGATTTGACTGTGTAAATTTTTAACTTATGCATAAGCTTACAGAAAGCTTTACAGTTACAGAAAATAAATGCAGACTATTTTTCTCCTACAACAGAAATAACCTATTTCAGTTGCTTCATTGGGTAATATAATTATGTTCATTATTTGGATACAAACAAGCAGACATTACACTAAACCAATTTCTTTGGGTCAGAAATTAGATTTTTCCGGAATTATATTCATTCTTAGCAATAAATGCAATTAAACATTGATATTACTGTTTAAAAATTCTATTCAAACTGCTAAATCTTAGTGTAATGTCAATATAAAGTCCCAAGCAACCTGGTATAATTAAAGAGGCACTTGATTTAGAATCACACATACCTGGGTTCCAATCCTGACTCGGCCACTATTAGTTATGTGGTCAAGTTATATAACCCTTGAGCCTATTCCTGCATCTGTAAAAATAGCTTTCTATGGTGTTCTTGGAAGATTACATAAGAATATCACATATGGAAGTGCCTAGTACAGAGTCTGATTGTCAAACTATGCCTTCTGCCTTCCTTTCCTAAGGAAGATTACTAACTGGTAACATCTGTTTTTGTACTGTTTTTTGTAAGACTTTTCTTTTCAAGAAATCAAGACTGTTGACATAAAGTCATACATTTCACCTGCCATATTTTTGTAGTTCCAGAGCATTATTCGTTCCTTCAAGTGTTTTATATTTGAGCTCCTTTTTTGGCTCTTTTTTGAGTATGTTATTTGATCTCTTTTTATTTCTGATACAATTTAAAGGTTTCTTGTAAAAAACCATGGGAAAAAAAACACACATTATTTTCTACCTGTGGCTTTCCACATGTTAAGATAATCCTCTTTTTAAAATCAATTAGGCTGTATCTATGGAAACCACTTTCAAGTGTTATGAAAAAAAATCTGAGGCAAAAAAAGAAAATAAAAAATTGAAGTAATCTTAGCCACTGTAAGGTGCTCAAGAAATAACAGTGATTCAACAAAGAAAAAATACAAATCTTAATTTTAATATAACTTTCAAGTTTCTCTAAATGGAGTCATTTTTTTCTGTAAAACTGGATCATTAAAGAGGCCAGAAAATGACTCCAAATGCTAAGTGAATCCAAACAAAAAGGAAAAGTGTATTGGCCAACATTCAATGTTTAAGGTGAGTAATTTTTTCCATCACACAAGACACGTAATTAATAAAATCATGGTAAATAAATTTTATCTCTCTTCAAAACTGTATAGGGTAAGTTTTACCCTAGATTGAGGAATGGAATTATCCTGAGCTCCTCCTTCAACTTGGTTGCACTTCCATTAGATATATTTGATACTCTTTGATAGACTGTTCTTTAAAATGTTTCCAAGGCTTTTTGCAAAATCTGCCAAAACTGCAAGTAGGCAGCTATCCTTCTAATACTACAATTATTTACTAATACATTTTTCTTTAATGTTATCACCCACAGGAGCATCTAGCTGTTACTCAGTCTAAATGATTTTGCTGCTGGTATTTTATTGCGTGCTTCTCAAAAAGTATTTAAAACAATGATGAGGTGAAAGTATACACATAAAAACACATTACTTTTCCATATTCAAACTGGAGTCTCTTGAGCTGATTTTTAAATGCCATATACATTTTTAAATCAAAATGTATCGCATTCTTTTAACACTCCCTCCCCCATCCCAAACTCCTCCCAAACGCCAAAGTTCCCTACTAATCTGAAAAGTACCTATTATCTATGAATTTTTCTGGTTTTTCATAACTTCATACTCCAACATTATATCCTTCAGACCGCTTTTCTCATTAAAGTAAGCACTGTTAACTCCTTAAGGTACTTAAGCATATGATTTATTTATTGCATAATCTTACTCTTCCTTCCACCAACTTAAATCTCATTATAATTCCCCTTCAGCGTTCCCTTCTCTCCTAAACGCACTCCATCAACATCGCCGGGGGCCACATACACAAACATTCCTATTCTGAAGCCCAAAATATTAATAAAATTTCGCTCCACTAAAAAAAACGTACTTAAAAGCCTCGTGCCTTTCAGTAGCACGCTTGAAGCTTTTTATTTGCTTTCCTGTTCTACCTTGGCAGCCTATTTCTCCCGTCAGTTGTGTGGTCCCTTGCTGCCCCCAGCACAAGAGTGCAACTCACTACAGTGTATTTCTTTTACTCACCATGATTCCCAGTATCTCCCTCCATTTCCGACCACCCATCCCCTGGTGAACCTCCTGGTCCACAAAAGATCTGTATCCAGGTGCCCACACCTCAAATTAGAATACCCCTCGACTGACACTGCCGGGGCTTTCTGTAGACTCAGGAAAACACAGAAGGCTGAGCGTTCCTGCCCCCTCCAGCAGTTCCCGCTCCCTACCGAGTTCGGTCTTCTCTTGCTTCTCCCCGGTGGAATGCCTACTTCTGGTAACCCTTAGGCACGGGAAAGCTCACCTTAGCAACCTCTGCCCCGTGACCTCGCGAGCCCAGCACCTCGCTCAAGCTTAATTCACACCATTCTTGGAGCTTGTGTTTTCGATGCCCCCAGTCCCAGCTCTCGTTGCAAGCTCTTTCACCCTCTTGCCCCCGAGCCAGACCGCAGGTTGCGACCGGAGCAAGTGGACATGCCTCCCTGGCCCGGCCCCTCGCACACCACTCACCCCGAAGTAGCTCTGCTCCTTACCTAGCTTTGATCGGGACTCCTCCAGTTTCTGGATTTGGTTCTCCAAGAAGAGCATCGCCACTGCGAAGGCCACCACCGCCAGCAGCTGCAACTTGGGCGGCATCATAATCCTAAGGAGCCCCATGAAACCCGCTGCTCGGGATCAAGACATACCGCGGGGGGCGGGGAGCGGGGCCCCGGAGGCGAGTGAGACGCCGGGGGGCAGCCCACCGAGCGGGGAGAAAGGCAGGGAGAGCGCGACAGCGAGAGAACCACCGCAGCGACCCCCGCCTTCTCACCGCCCCAGTCCCCCGCCCCCAGGCGCCAGTACCAACGCCGCCGGTGCCCGCTTCTCCTGGACCGACTCAACGGCCACCCCCTCCAAAAGCCCGCGCAGCAAACACAGCGCGAGGCGGCTGCCAGGCTCTCGCCTCTCTACTGCCTCAGTCCCCGACCCCCGCGCCCGCCTGCCTGCCCGCCTCCTTCTCTTCCTTCCTTCCCTCCCTCCTTTGCTCGCGGCCGCGCGCTCTTCCGCCAGTGCTGCGGCTGCGACTGCGCCGCCCTCTGCTCCGCCCCCGCCCAGCCCCCTCCGCCACCACGCGCACGCATCCACGTACGCTGCTCGGCAACCGGAGGCTCCACCCTCGGCTCGCGTTCAGTTGTGCCTAGTGGACCGAAGAAACCCGAAGCCTCACTCTTGTTTCGTGTTATGGTTGGTTTCCTTTGCCTTGGGTGTCAACCAAAGCGGCATTCGATTGGGTAAAGGAGGCGCGATGAAACCGAAGAAGGCGGGGCTTCTTGGCTGCTGGACGAATTGTCGTGAATAAAAGGAAGGCACTCGGAGCCGTACAGATTTGGGGAGTTTAGGAAAATGCCTGATAGGGGTTTTCGGAAGGACCCTGCGACTTTGTATTTATATTAAATATAAAGATATTTGACTACCTTTAAGTTTCAATATACTTCTAGGTAATACCTGTCTCTGAAGAGTAAGAGACTCGGTAACAACGGCCTTTAACAGACTGTTTTGGATAAGGCTCTGGAGTGGACGCCCCTAGCTGAGAGGTCCTCCGGGCAGTAGGAAACCTACGGAAGATGGTAGCGATGGCGGCCGGGTCGGTTGGGTCGCTTCGGCCGGCGTTTGCGCTGCGGTTGCTCTTAGCTGCTGTACTTCAAGCGGTAAGTAGAGATCATCTCCGCAGCAGCCCAGGGCGAGTGGGGAATGTTGCGCAGAGGAATACGAAACATTCGGTCCTGCATGGTAGCCACGCTTGGAGAGGGTGGGAGGACTGGTCCCACCGGAATGCTACGTGGCATCTTTCCTCATTTGATGCTTTTCCTTTCCCGCCCCGGATTTCTAGCGGTTCTTTCTCTTGACTTCAGAGTATCTTGAGTTGTACTTCTTTTGCAGAGTTCCAATTAAAAACAACCTATAAACCTCACGGTAGGGGGCGGGTAGAAAGCAATGAATCTTAGAAAGGAATGAAAATTGTCTTTAAGTGGGCAGAATACAAGAGACCACCGTTCTTCGGGATAAGGCTCTCCCTAAATCTTAGACGAAAGCCCCCATATCTGTGGTCCAGGGTACACTTCTGTGTACCTGTGTACCCAGGGTAACACTTCCTGTTAACTTTTTTCTCTCAGTTGTTAGTGGTTTCTAATTCACTGTTAGCTTTTTATCTCCGATCTCTATTACTCACGTGCTGCTGGATGCATTTCAGTACCGTTTGTGGTTTTAAACAACCTTGTTGCAATAAAAGGAGCTATTCTATACTAAAGCACAATTTATTTTTGAAATCGATTTTCTAAAACGATAGCCTTCTTATCGTTTAAAATCTGGCAGTGTTAACCAACTTTTTAAACTCGTTCTTCATTAACCCAACAGACGCGTTCTTAATCTTTGAGTGGAAAAGGGCTAATTTTGTCTTATTTTTCTGTTCATTCATGTACAACTTAGTATTGGTTTATGTCTCCTAAGAAGCTTGCGATCCATATTTTGCTATGTGAGTAACATTTTTTCTGGGCACTGCGGAAGCTTTTACACGTTTCACTAATCAGCTTAATTCTTCAGGTATTTTCATTACTGAGCCTGCTGAACAGTTTTCTCCTAGGAGACTTGGTTTCATTGACTTCACCACAATTTAGGGGAGTTAATGCCTCTACCAAAAACTTCCATAAACAGCCCGTGCTTTTCTTTCCTCAAAGAGTTTGAAGTTCTTGCCTGTTTGTTTTTGCAACCATACCTCAAAGGTGGATTTTTAACTTCTCCAATTAGCATTATAGTACTTTGTTATTCGGGCATTTGGTGCCCCCTTAGAAATTACCAAAAGACCCTTCTCTAAACTTTCTACTGGAGAATTTTTGTTGTTCTTGTTTTGCCAGTCTTAGATAATTAGAGTCTACCACCATGCAAAGGTAAGGAATAACATATCACGTTGACTTCTGATTTCTCTGTCTTTAATTATCAATGTTGTGTAACCACCCCACATTTTGTTGGCTTAAAATCACAATTTCTCCTAATTTTGTGGGTCTGCTGTAGAGTTCCTGTTTTCCTCTGGCTCATGTACTGTAGTTGTGTTCAGCTAGTAGGACAGCTGAACTGAAAGGTCCAAGATGGCTTCATTCTTAGTTGGTGCTGTCAGCAAGGGTGACTTGGTTCTCCTCTGTGTGACCTCTCATCCTCCAGCCCAACTTCTTTTCATGGCAGTCTCAGAATAGTGCTCCTGAAGAGCAAAAAAGCTGCAGTGCCTCCTGAAGGCTAGCCTTGAAAATCACATATATTACTTCCACCTCACGATACTTGTCAAAGTAAATCATAGGACTGGTCTAGATTTCAGGGATGGAGAAATAGACTCCATCTTTGGACAGGAGGAGTGACAAACTTAGCAAAGAAATTACATACCAGGATAGGAGGAATTTATGGCCATTAAATAATCTACTAACATGACCATCCACATTAGTCAAAAAGTTGGGTATCATCTTTGACATTTTTTTATATACCTTGCATCAGGCAGTTACCAACTCTTTTTTATTTTACTTCCTAAATATCACTCAGATTCATGCACTTAATGTTAATCCCTCATTCAGGCCACCAACATCTCTCTCATTAGCATTAATAGCCTTCTAGTTCACTCTTCTAACTATCAGAACCTAAATGGTTGGCTTTGTAAGTTTCCCAGTTGCCCAAGCCAGCAAGTAGTCTTTTTTAAATTCTTTTTCACTCTCTGAATCCAATTAGTCATTAAACCCTTGAAAATCTCCAAGCCAGTCCACTTAATTCTATGTTCACAGGCAGTACCTAAATTCCGACCATCATTTTTGCTTGCCTGGAATTCCCCCAACAGTTTCCTTAAACTGGGTTCCATATTTCATTTTCTTACTTTCTAATCCAAGCTGTACAGTGCATCCACAGTCGTCTTTTTCAAACTTTACTATAATTCTTCACTGGTTCCCTGTTGATTTTAAGGTGAAGTCTGTTCTCCTGAACATTCCTTAACAAGGCCTGTTTCACTTGATACTTATTTGTTGAGCCAGGCTTAAGTCCCAGTACTTAACCGCTGCTGCAAGAGCCAAAAGATAAGGTGAAGAATTGGGGTCATTTGTTTTAGCCTGTCGCACATACCATGTTCTTCCTCAACCAGGCCTAAAGTGTTTAGATAAAAGGCAAAGTTTAATTTATATACCATCTCCAGATATGCAGATTCAGATATACTCTCTCCCTTGCATATTCTGTCATCATATCTTATACTCCATTACACAGATACACAATCTTAACAGTACCATACCTTGTGTGTTTGTATCCCTCCACTCCCCCTGCTCCTATGCCAAGAATATAGCTAAAGGGAATACAGAGACCTTATTTTAGTTTTTCTTTTTTTTCATATTGTGCATCATATGTATTTGTTCACTAAAATCCCTCAGAGCAGGGCACCTGGGTGGCTCAGTTGGTTAAGCGTCTTACTCTTGATTTCAATTCAGGTCATGATTTCAGGGTTGTGAGATAGAGCCCCCACATCGGGCTTGTGCTGGGCATCGAGCCTGCTTGAGATTCTCTGGCCACCCCATCTCTGCCTCTCCCCTCCCCCAAAAAACAAAGCCTTGAGTCTGCAAAACTAATGGTAGAAGAGCTAGAAAGAAGTAATTCACTCATGAAACTCAAGTTAACCTTGTATCTCCACTACACTTCTCCTCTATTCCATGTCTAATAATTAGAACATAAGTAGTGTTTTGTATTTCTTAAGAGGGTTTTTTAAGAGTACTAGAAAGTGAGGGGTGCCTGGGTGGCTCAGCGGGTTAAGCCGCTGCCTTCGGCTCAGGTCATGATCTCAGGGTCCTGGGATCGAGCCCCGCGTCGGGCTCTCTGCTCATTGGGGAGCCTGCTTCTTCCTCTCTCTCTGCCTGCCTCTCTGCCTACTTGTGATCTCTCTCCGTCAAATAAATAAATAAAAAATCTTTAAAAAAAAAAAAAAAAGAGTACTAGAAAGTGAATAATGCAAACATCTGTCAGGGACCCACTGTGTCCTGGGTAGAAAACTAGATGCTTCATTCACTTTTTCTCCTTTAATCCTCAAAACTGCTAGATAAATCACAGTTATTCCTATTCAGAATTTCAGAAGTAAGATTGCTCTGTGCTAGCATTTGAATCAAGATGTCATCAGACTCCAAAAACACATTTTGCATATTTATGCCACCTGTCAGTAGGTGCGCAGTAAATGCCAGAATAACACCAATAATATGATTGCATGATCATTCACTTGAAATTTTTGTTTTGTAAAACGTGCTTTGGCAATAACAATTTCTTATATTTGTTAACAAGTTCATGGTTTCAAAGTGATTTCACTTTTATTGCCTTTGTTAGTTACCATGGTTGAAAAACAAATCACTATCAACTTTATTGGTATAAAACAATTATTTTGCTTTTAGATTCTGTGGGTCAGCAATTCGGACAGGTCACAGCAGGGTGAGTTATGTGTTCCATGGTGTCTCTGCTGAAAGGTCTGAAATATGAAGTTCTTTATTCATATGTCTAATTAATGATGGTTGTCAGCTGGGGGCTTCAGTTGCTCTCTACATGGGACTCTCCATGTTGTCCCTCTGATTTAGGTTACCTTACAGCATGGTGGCTAAGTTCCAAAGTTGAGTATTCTGGGAGAGGCAAAGACACAGTGTGTAGGAGTACTTACCACGCAGAGGCTGTTTCCTTTTTTATGACCTACCCTCAAAAACCAGAGTATTCCTTCTTTTGTACTCTGTTAGTCAGAATCAGTCACAAGCCCCTGCCCAGATTCAAGGGAAGGGAAAATAAACTTCTCGGTAGAAGAGTGCCAGTCACATTGTAAGAACACCATGTGGGGTGATGTATATATATTGGTGTGGCCATCTGTGGAAAATACAAATTAACCTGTGAAATAGGTCAAGCATATCACTTTACTAATCAAGAAATTACTCAAAGTACTAGTACAGAAGCACGTGTCTTCAGTGCCTCCCACAGGGCTGCGATCTATTTTGAATATTACATACATTCTACATTATTACTGAGGTAAAATGAAAGATGTATAAGGTATCAAATTAGGGTATTGACTGGCTGGCACAAGACCAATGGGATAATCAGCATTTTGGGAGAGTATGTCAGCACTCCTTAGTTTTTTACATTGGCAAATGCCCTTGTGTTTTTATCTACCTTGTTCATCCTGAAGAGGGTTTGACAAACTATTACTGGTGGGCCAAGTCCGGCTGGCCCTATTTATGTGAAGTTTTATTGGAAGACACCCACTCCCTTACTTTTGTCTGCGCTGCTTTTGTGCTGTTGTACCTGAGTTGAGTATTTGCAACAGAACTGCGGGGTTTGGGGGTGGGGGGTAGAGGGTGGGGTGAGCCTGGTGGTGGGTATTATGGAGAGCACGTATTGCATGGAGCACTGGGTGTGGTGCATAAACAATGAATTTTGGAACACTGAAAAAAAAAATAAAATTCAAAAAAAACAAAAAAAAACAAAACCATTTAGCCACCAAAGCCTAGCATAGTTACTATCTGGCCCTCTACATAAAGTTTGCATATCCTTGACCTAAACGATCATCCAATTCCATTCAAACAATCTGCAATTCCCCCTACTTGAGGCTGTAGTTTTCACCAGTTCATTTGTTCAGCACACATGAGAATTAGCACAAGTGCTTTAAAAACAGAATAATAATAGTTTAATGCTTGGCGTCAAAAGAGTTCACAGTACTAGGCAATCAAACAACTCTACATTTACGTAGTAGTGTCATGAGTGATGCTGTCTTAGAACTGTGCACAAATTTATTTCTCTGAAAAGCACTATGGCTAAAGATTAGGATCTGACTCTCTGCCCCCCACCGCCCCAGAGGGCTTACTGAAGACTGATACTGATCAGGTTCTTGGAAATAAGTTGAAATTAAGAAGGTGAAAAGGAGCCTTAGATTAGGAAAAGTATGAGCAAATGTATGAATAGGAATTTTATTCTTCCAGGAATTCATTATAGTTGAAAAGTAGAATGGGATTGGAGAAGTAAATAAAGGTAGGACTGGCAATGACCATTTAAGCCACTGAGGCAAGAAATGATTTGAAAGCTCTTTAAGAAACAGAATTGTCAAGGCTTGTTAATTGTTTATAGGAATGGCCGAAAATATAGAATCTAGGATGGCTGACCTGGGCAGCTAGATGGTCCAGGAAAATAGCGCCATTTTACTAAGTTATTAGGTACATTGGGAGGAATAGATTTAAGCAGAAAAGATAAGTTTCAGTGTCAGAGATCTTGAATTTGCTATGCCAATGGAACATATAATATAAATGAGGTCAGTTAGACTGTTGGCTTTGGAAGTTTGACACTCAAGTAAAAGACTCAGGAGTTCTCAGTAGGTAGGTATTTGAAGCCTTGGGGAAGATGCAGTCATCTATAGAAAATACGTAAAGCAAAGAGAGAGCCAGAAATAGAAATGGGAAACAGCAGCACTTAAGAAGGAGGACAGGCGATGGGAAGAACAGCTGGAGCCTTTTGAATGCCTTTGTATTTAGTGATTTTTGGCAAGTTTAGTTGAGTGGTATAGAGTCAGAAGCTAGACCAAAGTAACAATTCAGAGATGACAGAACGTGGGGAGAGCAATTAAAACCGTAAGGTTTGAATAGGCTGAAGAATTTTGAGTTTTACCAATTAAATTAAATCCCTATGGAAGTGCAGAAGATAAGTTCCAAACCACGGGTAGAGGGATTGACCTTAAATGAAGGTATACCGTATTCACTGAGACATGCATGAGAGAATGGATAAGGGAAGAGAACAGATTTTTGAAAGCCTGCTTTTGCTGATTGGTTGCATAAGTCATTTCATTCATCTTACCTCAATCTGTTTTATGTAAGAATTATTGTTTTCCAGTATAAATATAGAATAGCGTTTTATTTCTCATTTTGTTTATTTTCAGGTGTCTGCGTTCGGGGCAGAGTTTTCATCAGAGGCTTGCAGAGAGTTGGGCTTCTCCAGCAACTTGCTCTGCAGCTCTTGTGATCTTCTTGGACAGTTTAACCTGCTTCAGCTGGATCCTGACTGTAGAGGATGCTGTCAGGAAGAAGCACAATTTGAAACTAAAAAGGTACTGTTTTCTAGTATCTCTCTTCCATTAGTTGGTGTGATTGAGATATGGTGAAATGTTAAATTGCTTTATCAACTTAAATATAAAATCCCTAGCTTTTACATTTTGTAGTTTTAGAAAGTCAACTGATTCCTTTCTGGGCCACCAGACCAATTAAAGCAACTAGGAAGGAAAAGTTAGGGTTTATATACCAGGACCCCATTCTACCATGGTGGTTTAGCAGAGGGGTTACAAAATTACTATAGCATGCTTGGATCCTTCTGGCCGCATGAAGATGCTTCTATTCATTTGTAATAAGAACTCAGTCTTACAGTGAAATTTGAGATGAAAGTTTAGCACCTACAGTGCCTGGATGGTTCAGTAGGGTAAGCATCTGCCTTCAGCTCAGGTCATGATCCCGGGGTCCTGGGATCAAGCACTGCATCAGGCTCCCTGCTCACCGGGAAGTCTGCTTCTCCCTATGCCCCTCACCCCTCTTGTGCTTTCTCTCTCGTGCGTGCACATTCTCCCTCTCTCTCTCTCTGCCAGATAAATAAATAAAATCTTTTAAAAAAAAGGAAAGTATAGCACCTACTACCTGGCACATAATTATAGGTGTTAAATAAACTTTTTATCTATTTAACAAAGAATATGGTCTGTTAACTTACATGGCTGTTACTAATATTAATAGACAGCTAATCTCATCTTTAACACATGAAAACAGCTAAGGATAGGTAGTTCTGACTGTCCAATAAAATCTACCGTTTTGTCCCATTGTTCAAATTAATAGTTAACTTACTCAGTTCTTAATTTTTTTCATAAAAGCCCCTATACTTTTTAAAATGAAGAAGTAGCCTGAAAAGATCATTTATATAAGCCAGATAAAATTGAATCAGTGAGTCCCCTGTGTTTGGAATGAGAAAAAGAGTTAGCATCTCTGTTAGGTTTCCTTTTCACATTCTTTCACTTGTACATACTGAATTCTGTTACGAGGTGTTAACAGTTTGTAAAGCTTTCTATAATTATATTCTTGCTAGGTAGTAAAGGTTTATTTCTAACCCCAAGTATCGTTTTACCATTCTAAAAAAGTAAGCAAACCTTTAAAAGTGTTAATATTTAACCAAAATTTACTATTCAGTTCCTCAGTTATGAACCTGAAATTCTCCTGTCCCCAGGATGGCTCCTAAGTCTTCTGTGTTTTTCCTTTTGTTGGTTCACATAACTGTTGATATATTTTCACATTTAGGAGATTTTTAGGGGCGGCTGGGTGGCTCAGTCGGTTAAGCGTCTGCCTTTGACTCAGGTCATAATCCTGGGGTCTTGGGATCAAGCCCTGCATTGGGCTCCCAGCTCAGTGGGGAGCCTGCTTCCCCCCTCTCAGTCCCCCTGCTTGTGCTCTCTCACTCGCACTCTGTCAAAGAAATAAATCTTAAAAAAAAAAAAAAAAATTCTGTATATGAATTAGTCTTCATTGCATATAAGGTCATATCTAAACAAGTTTTAAAAACTTGATTTTAAATAGATTTAAGATGTATGACTTATCTAATTTAGTAAGACCCTTCCCTCTTGATTTCGGGGGGCATGGATTTATTTATTTATTTAGAGATACTCATGTGGGACAAATTGCCAGAGGAATCTGTATGTCATCTTCTAATCATAATGCTGTTATTCTATGGTCCATACTACTTAATCAACAATGATTATTTCCTGAGACACCAAACTTAAAAGAATTGAATAACAAGGGATGTTTTATAATAATAAACAGTGTTTATCACACTCCTTGTCTTATAATTAGACTAAATTGAGAAGCTCTCTCCTTTAAGTGGTGTCAAATACTCCTAAATTGTAAACCAGGTGCATATAAAAGCTTTTTTTTTTTACTTACTGCCCTTTCTCAGTAATCCTTCATAGCATACCATTTTTATGTTATACTTTTATTACAACCAACCTTAAATCACATGCTTCTCAAATTAAATTCCCATTCACTTTTAATTATTAATTGAGCTCTTTGTGGTATCTTGACACTTCTCAGCACTTACAGTTCAGCAATAATCATCAGCAAATAGTCTACCAGTTAATATATGCCTAACTAATTACAAGCTGAAGTAATTGTAAGTACAAGTGAGCCTGTATCCTAACATAACTTTTATGCTGTATCCATTGTTTTTTCTTTACATGTTTCCCCTCATCTCTACCATGTACTTACTTCTCATTAAGCATTTGCTAATACAGTTTTGTACAAAATCAATGAGAACCAAAACATGTCAGAAACCCTTAGAAATACTGCTGGACATACAGAGTATGGCATGTTGGACAAGCCTCCATTTAGATGCAAACCACGTTCAGATATAAAAGTGAGACTTGATTTAATGTGTGCAGCACTGCTGTCTAGACTACTGGTACGTGAGCATATGTAACATATGCAGTATTTTTATCTATGTCAACCCTGGCTTAAGGCTTAATTTTGAAATCAGAGTTTAATTTAGTCTTAGTTTAATAAAAGTAAAAATCTGCATAGACTAGTACCTTACATTAAAAACATTAAAAGTACTTAAACATGTCTCTGTGTGTATATGTCTGGGTAAATCATTGTAAATATAAATTCTTTAGAAGAGAAAATTACTTTATATACAGGAATGTTTTAGCAATTTATATATAATTAAGAAGTGTGGGGCGCCTGGGTGGCTCAGTGAGTTAAGCCTCTGCCTTCAGCTCAGGTCATGATCTCAGGGTCGTGGGATCGAGCCCCACATCAGGCTCTCTGCTCGGCAGGGAGCCTGCTTCCTCCCCTCTCTCTCTGCTTGCCTTTCTGCCTACTTGTGATCTCTCTCTCTCTCTCTCTCTCTCTGTGAAATAAATAAATAAAATCTTTAAAAAAAAGAAGAAGAAGAAGAAGTGTAACCAGTATCATTCACTTTGGTTCTTAGTGATATGGTTTATAAGCCTTTCCAGAGATGAGGCTAATCATTTTTAGTAGTGCTTACTCACTTAACAGGCTGAAGTTAGTCTTTGATAGCCAGAAGCTTAAAATTTGCTTTTTAAAAAAAAAAAATCTTAATAGCAGAAAATGTCTTTTAAATCTCTTATTCCATAAATATGTACTCCATTATTTTTATTGGGTTTCCTTCTCCCCTACCCATTCTGTTCATATAGGACCTACTAGTAAGCATCACAAGTACTAGCTAGAATGAGAATTTTTGATAAGTTAATTTACTACTAGTTTTGTTCATAACTATGTATCTAGATACCATTTATATACATTAGGATATTGGCTTAATTGTAAAGATCGTACTGATTTGTAGTTGGAAGGAAAAAGGTAAACTAATGAAAGAAAAAATATTTGACTTTAAATATTTAAATCTTGGTGCTACTTTTATACAGTTAGTATTTTATACAGATAGCATGAGTAACTTCAGCTTAATATATAAAATCTTAAGATGGAAAGGAAGGGAACATTTTTTTTTCCACTACTGACTGACTTTTTCCTTGTGGTGGGACAACATAGTAACTGCCAGTTCCCAAGTGTTGTATCTTTTAGCTTTTCCCATGAGAAAAGGATTAATTCTTTCTCATTGATATTTTTGAAATATTTTAGGCAGGGATTGTTACTAGCTCAGGTTAGATTACTAACCAGTTGTTGGCCAAGATAGAGAATAATACAAGGCCCATTGGCTGCCACAGCAGCTATGTGGAATGTTGCACTGGGGTACAGAGAGATGAAGCACTGAAGAGCAGATACTAGGTAAACAATCCCATAAGTGTTACTCTCCCCTCCTGCCCACACCCCACTGTGAATAGAGTAAATAGCTACTATTTGATCTGTCTTTTTAAAGATTTAGCTCAAGTGTCTACCCTTTTGGGAAGGTTTCCCTAATTTCAGCTCCCTTACCTCTCTACCACTAGGACTCCCAGGTTATGTTACCTACACCTCTATTCTCAAAGCACTGAAGAGACCTTGATATGCACTTAACCTTCACTATATTGTATCTATTATTTTGGTTTTTTTTCTCATTCCATAAAATTATGCTCTTTGAAGTCTAAGATGGTGTCTTTCTGAATCCCTGGCCTTTAGCATATAGTATTTGATAAGTTTTTGTCCTTGAGTGAGGCTGTTTTTACTAAGAATAAGTTGGAAACGGTGATTTTTTTTTTTCCATTAAACACTTACCAAGTGCTTTTTATATATCAGGCACCAACCTAGGCATTGCTGATACAAAAATTGAAGGGCATCGGGCACCTGGGTGGCTCAGTCGGCTAAGCATCCAACTCTTGATTTTAGCTCAGGTCATGATCTCAAGGTCTTGAGATCAAGCCCTGAATCGGGTTCCACGCTCATTCCAGAGTTGGCTTGAGATTTTTCTCTCTCCCTCTCCCCCTGCTCAATCAATCAATAAATCTGTCTAACTTAAACAAAACAAAACAAAACTGAAGGGCAGTCCCTACCCTCAAGGAGCTTATAGTCAGTCTAGTGGGGAGATAGACTGGTAAGCAGGCAAGTAAGGCTAGAGGGATAGGTGTGGTGTGCTAGGAGTAAAGGGAACAAAGCTTAGGAGAGGTTTAAGATCTGGGTTGAGAATTGATAGAAAATGTACCCAGCTGAGAAGAAGAAATGGGAATCGAAATGGCATCTCTGGATACAGGAGATAGACCAAGAGTGCAGGATGGCAAGGGATGAGTCCAGAAATACAAGCAGGAACCAGGACATCGTGAGTCTTAAAAGCTATGCTAAGAGGTCTGGACTTTTTCTTGAGGGAATGGGAGCCAGTGGAAGTTTGTAGGCCAGAGAGTAACTTGATCAACTACTGGTAGACATAGAAAAGGTAATTTAAAAATATATATGTATATATGTCCATATATTTCACTTATGCTGAATATAAAAAGATTTGTCTTTATGTTGGCAGTTACTGATGAATAACACTTGTTATAACTGTTCATCTAAGTGTCAATCTCTCATTTGTATATTTTATTTATAAAGATACTGCAAGCATCCCAAATCTAAAAATAGACATTAATTTTTTAAC